ACCCAGGCGCCCCTTCAATTTTTAATTCTCAATATCTATGAACTCTTTAGATTTATCTTTGGAATGTGTTTAAACACTTGAATACAAGTGGGTCTACAATTTAAAAATTTCTACCACTTCAAGTAAAATGACAAAGTCACCCTTGGAAAACGAACACAAAAGAAGCTGGAAAAATTGACAGGATTTTCTTGCCAATCCCCTAATGAACTATTGTCATGCAGAGTCACCAAATTAACTTTATAACATACTCATATTAATTTAAGCAAACAGATCATTTGTCTGGTGGTTATTCTCTCATCAGTGTCAACCTCTAGGACTCGGCCAAGAACCTAGAACAGTGAAAAGGCTGCAGCACGTGTAATAAACCTACATATGGAAGAACACGTGATACAAAACCATAAATGCATGAGTACATGCTACAAACCCTACATATTGAAATCCACTTGCACTGTAAGAAGGCCTTTAGACCTTTACTTAAAGAGAGCTAAATGCAGACACACTGTAACAACCAAAAGGTACAGCTCATAATGAAGGGGATAGGAAACTACACGGGAATAGACTGAGGGTTTCAGGGGCACCTCAGTGGTTCAGTTGGTCCAACTCTTGATTTCAGCACAGGTCACGATCTCATGGTTTATGAGCTCGAGCCCCGGCGATGGGCTCTGCGTTCATAGCCAGGAGCCTGTTAGGGATTGTCTGTCTCCCTCTCTCTCTGCCCCTCCCCTGCTTGGGTGCACGCACGTACATGCACTCTCTCGCTCTCTTTTAAAAATAAATAGAACTTAAAAAGTAAAAACGAAATAGACTGAGGGTTTCAAATTAAAACAGTCTGGAGCCATTTAATATCAGATAAGCGTAACTTTACAAGCAAATGAAGTAATGAATACAGCAACTTCCTAGTGATATCTTCAAGTTACAAAGAAAAGTTAAATTATATTGAAATTATTTTTTGCATCTTATATTGAAAAGGGTATAAGAAAATAAACCCTATCTCTTAGGGTAATTTCTATCAAAAGTTATAGAAGCATTTAAAAACCTTGGAATAAGCTTCAATAACCAAGAATGTTTAGCAATCATTATCCTGAAGTTACATAAGTGTGGCATAGGCAATGTAACAGAAACAAAAAGTAAATAATTAATTGTACCTGCCTTTGCTATATGACTTGATTCTTAAATAAATGCCTCACACGTTTCAAGCTGAAATAAATGAAATTATTTCAAAATCTGGTGGCTGCCATACAGCAGCCCCTCAGCAAATATTTGTTATTGGTCAATGAAGACTTGGGAGGTTATCTGTTCAAGTCCCACTTTGCTAATTTGTGTGTTTATATCAACAATTATCGTCTCTCTGACAAAGAGAAAACAGTGAGCTTACTTGATGAGGATTCTTTCCTTTAAATAGACCACTTCTGGACCAAAAATGGGGATATGCACTACACAATAAAAGTTGCAAATTAAAGTAAAATTGGGGCCCCTGGGTGGCTCAGTCAGTTAAGCATCCAACTCTTGATTTTGGCTCAGGTCCTGATCTCACTGTTGGTGAATTCAAGCCCTAAGTCGGGCTCTGTGCTGACAGCGTGGAGCCTGCTTGGGATTCTCTGTCTCCCTCTTTCTCTGCCCCTGCCCCACTCACACTCTCTCTCTCTCTCAAAATAAATAAACAAAAAAATTAAAGTAAAATACAATTCAAGAAATAAGAACATAAGTGAAATATGTACCAGATCAGTATGTCTTCATATAGTTAAGAGTTGATTAGTGGTATAACTCTAATTTACTAAATGAAATATAAATTAAAAATAAGAAATCACATCTTTGTAGTGTCAACTTACATCAGCCATCCGTTGAATCTGTGGAAGGCTCTCCATGATTTTTTGTTGTAAAGCTGCCACTTGACGACTTAACTCTTGTACAGATTGTGCTAAATCATCAGTTTCAAAAATTATTGACAAGTCTTCTAGATCCGTGAACACTGAATGTAAAAGATTGTGTTTCTGTTCTGAATCTTCCAAAGCCATCTACACAATGGAAAACAAGGAAAAAAGAGAGAGAACATCAAGATACTAAAAGAGGTTGATTAATATCGAAATTGGAGAAAATTTTCTAACTGTATATAGTGTGGCGTATTAACTAGACTTACTGTGGTGATCATTTTGCAATACATGCAAATATCAAATCATTTCACTGCACACCTGAAACTCTTATAATGTGTGTCAATTGCACCTTAGTAAGAAAATTTTAAATCCAAGAATTTTAAAACTGCCTCAGCATTTCAAACTCCTATTCATTTCATTTCATAATAAGACACTGGGGGTGGTTCAGTCAGTTAAGCATCGGACTCTTGATTTGGGCTCAGGTCATGATCTCAAGGTTGTGAGATCAGGCTCCACACTGGGCATGGAGCCTGCTTGAGATTCTCTCTCTCTCTCTCTCTCTCTCTCTCTCTCTCTCTCTCTGCCCCACCCCTCTCTCTCTCTCCCTCTGCCCTTCTCCTGCTCACACTCTTGCTCTCAAAAAAAACCCCACTTTAATCATAATAAAATACTAAACACTATATTGTAAACAGCATTGGGTGACTTTGGAGTGTCTACCCCATTTTGGTGGGCTCCTACCATGCAACCCTGCTCCTCCAGCCATCAGTAAAAGAACCAGGAACACCTGACCTGCGGTCCATCCCTCTCCTCTGTCATCTGAAATCCGGGCCAAGAAAGCCATTCAGGCTCTCTCTAATTGGCTGGACTTGTAACTTTGGGAATGTGAATTCGAGAGAAAGAGGTACACGAAGTGAGGATTGGGAATGAAGAGGCAATCCTGTGGCTTGTCAGTCCTGGTGCCGATGTCCTCGCGTGGCCTTACCACATGATGCCACCGACTTCCATGAGGCATCCCTACGGTTTGAGTTGACCTGAATAACCTGACACCAAAGGGACTCTATCTGATAAAACCAAATGAAAGAGAAAAACATCCATTTTTACAGTTTCGTAGACATTCCTCCTTATAATTTTTTTCTTTCTTCTTTTAACAATGATAATGTATTAACTAACTTTCAAACTTAAGATTTCAAGATATCTCAGCCACCAACTGGAAATGTTTAACCTAGCGTAGTCTTCAGGTGATTCCATGAAACAGAATATGGTATGAGAAAGAACATTTACTTAATTCAATTAGAATTCTGGTCTCTAAAATTTTTTAGGTTATTCAGAATTTTATGTTGTCCTTATTTGAAATCCTAGAAGGAGAAAACTTTATGGAAAACAAAATTAAAACCAATGCTTTTTGGTTTTTTTTTTTTTTAACCAATAATACCATTTTACAATAGCATCAAAAATATAAAATACTTAGGGATAAATTCAACAATTTACATGTAAGACCTATACACTAAAGATTATGAAACACCACTGAGAGAAATTAAAAAGGACCAAAATAAAGAGATCTGTCGTGTTGCTGGATTGGAACAGTCAATACGGTTAAGATGTCAATTCTCGCCAAACTGATCTACAGATTTAATGTAATCCACTCAAAATTCCAACAGTCCTCTGTATATTGACAAGCTGATGCCAAAACTTACGCTGAATTGCAAAAGACCCAGATTAGTCAAAAGAAACTTGAAAAAGAACTAGTTGTAGAAATTATGCTACCTGATTTCAAGACTTACTATACGGCTATAGTAATCCAGACTGGGTCACATCAGTGAAAGAACAGACACATAAATCAGCAGAAAGAAACAGAGAGTCTAGAAATAGACCCACATCTACAACATGGCAACTGATTTTAAATAAGGCACCAAAGTAATTCATTGGTGAGTCTTTTCACCAAATGGTGTGGGAACACTCAGATATCCCCACAGAAAAAAGTGAACCTTCATACAACGTACAAAAACAAACCTGAAATGGATTGAGGACTTAAAAGTAAGAATTAAAACTATACAGGGGCGCCTGGGTGGCTCAGTCGGTTAAGCCACCGACTTCAGCTCAGGTCACGATCTTACGATTTGTGAGTTCGAGCCCCACGTTGGGCTCTGCGCTGACAACTCAGAGCCTGAAGCCTGCTTCCGATTCTGTGTCTCCCTCTCTCTCTCTGCCTGCTCCCTGCTCACACTCTGTCTCTCTCTCAAAAATAAATAAACATTAAAAAAATAAAAATAAAAAAGAATTAAAACTATACAATTTCTAGAAGAAAAGACAGGAGACCATCGTAGCCCTGGGTTAGGTAAAGATTTCTTACATACAACACAAAAGGATAACCCATGAAAGAAAAATATTAAAAATTGGATTCCATCAAATTACCAACATATGCTCTCTGAAAGACAATATTGGGAGAATGAAAAGCCACAGACTGAGAGAGCATGTGTAAATCATATATGTGTTAAAGGACTGCTTTTAAAACATTCTATAGGGGCGCCTGGGTGGCGCAGTCGGTTAAGCGTCCGACTTCAGCCAGGTCACGATCTCGCAGTCCGTGAGTTCGAGCCCCGCGTCAGGCTCTGGGCTGATGGCTCAGAGCCTGGAGCCTGTTTCCGATTCTGTGTCTCTCTCTCTCTCGGCCCCTCCCCCGTTCATGCTCTGTCTCTCTCTGTCCCAAAAAATAAATAAACGTTGAAAAAAAAAATTTTTTTAAACATTCTATAAATAATACAATTCAATAATAGAAAGACAACCCAATTAAAAACTTCAATAGACATTTCACAAAGGAAGCATACAAATTACAAACACATAAATGTTCAAATAAATTATTAGTCATAAAGAAAGGCCATTTATTTTTTTTAATTAATTAATTTTTTTAACGCTTATTTATTTTTGAGACAGAGAGAGACACAGCATGAACAGGGGAGGGTCAGAGAGAGAGGGAGACACAGAATCTGAAACAGGCTCCAGGCTCTGAGCTGTCAGCACAGAGCCCGACGCGGGGCTCGAACTCAAGGACCGTGAGATCATGACCTGAGCCGAAGTCAGACGCTTAACCGACTGAGCCACCCAGGCGCCCCAAAAAAGGCCATTTAAACCACAATGAGATACCACTACATGTCACTGGAATGGCTAAAATTTACAAAATGATATCAAGTGCAGGTGAGAATATGGAGCCATTAGAACTCATATGGCCAGTTGGACTGAAAAATAGGAGTTTAGCCATTTTGGAAAACAATGTGACCATTTCTTATCCATTTAAAGACCTACCATAAAAGCCAACAATCATACTCCTAGGCATCTACCAAATGAAATGAAATGAAGACATACATCCACACAAAGATTTGTATAGGACCATTCACAGCTCTGCTTACAGTAGCCTGTAAGACCCCCTGATCCCCACCTCCTGATACTCAGGCCCTTATAATCAACTCCTTTGAAATGTAGGTTGGGCTTACTAATTTACTTGCTGATTTACTACTGGCTCTACTGATTCCTTACTGAGATGTCACTTCCAAGATTAGGTTATAAAAAGGCTGTTTCTGTCTTGGGGGCTCTCTTTTTTAGATCGTTCATGGTGAGGAAAGTCAGCTACCAGGCCATGAGGCAGTTTTGGGGGGGGGGGGCACAGGTCTGTATATAGAAATAGATCTTCTGAGGCCTGCCAATAGCCAAGTGAATGACCTTGGAAGTGCATCCTGTCTTCTCCCTCACCCACAGCAAGGCGTGACTGCATTCTTACAAGAGACCTTGAGCCAGAGGCACTCAGCTAAGTCGCGCCTGAATTCCCGACCCACAGAAACTGAGATAATAAATGTCTGTTGTTTTAAGCTGCTAACCTAGCATAGTCCAAAACTTGAAATAAGCCAATGTCCATTAACTGGTGAAGGGATAAACATGCTGCATATTTCCACGAATGGAACACTACTCAACAATCAAAAGAATGATCTATAAACATTAACAATCCGGATGAATCTTGAAAACGTTACACCAAGTAAGTCAGGTAAAAAAGGCTGTATACTATACGATTCTCTTACAGGACATTGTGGAAAGAGGCAGAGGAAACTCTGAGGTGATGGAGATGTGCTTTATATTGACGGTGGTGGTGGTTGTTACACAATTGTATCCCTTTATCAAAACTCATCAGTTGCACACTTAAAATAGACGTATCTGGGGGCACCTGGCTGGCTCAGTTGGTAGAGCATGCAACTCTTTGTAATGTCATGTCATGTCATGTCATGTCATGTCATGTCATGTCATGTCATGTCAAATGTAATCTTATTCTATTCTATTTCAGAGAGAGAGAGCGAGAGAGAGAGCACATATAAGCAGGGCAGAGGGGCAAAGGGAGAGAGAGAATTCTGAAGCAGGCTCCACATTCAATTCAAAGGCCAAGGTAGGGCTTGATCCCATGCCCCTGGGATCATAACCTGAGCCACCAAGGCGCCCCAGTAGAGCATGCAACTCTTGACTGTGGGGTCATGAGTTCAAGCCCCACGTTGGGCGTGGAGCTTATTAAAAAACGCATGGGGGGGCGCCTGGGTGGCTCAGTCGGTTAAGCGTCCGACTTCGGCTCAGGTCACGATCTCACGGTCGTGAGATTGGCGACGCCAGCGTGCTCTGCTGACAGGCTCAGAACCTGGAGAGCCTGACCCATTCAGTTGTGTCTCCCTCTCTCGACCCTCCCAGTTCATGCTCTGTCTCTCTCTGTCTCAAAAATAAATAAACGTTAAAAAATTTAAAAAAAAAAAAAAAAAAAAACCACATGAAGGGGCGCCTAGTGGCTCAGTTGGTTAAGCATCCGACCCTTGATTTCAGCTTAGGTCATGATCTTATGGGTTCATGAGTTCAAGCCTCATCTCGGAAACTCTGTGCAGAATGAGGCCAACTTAAGCTCTCTCTCTCCCTCTCTCTACTGCTCCCCTGCACTCTCTCTCAAAAATAAAATAAACAGTAAAAAAAAAAAAAAAATGCATATGTGTGTATTTTACTATATGTAAATTATACCTCAATGAAATTGAGTAAAAAAACAATTTGTCTATTTTTACAAAGAAAATTTATGTTTCAATAATTCTTAACTACAACAGCAGTATTTCTGGAATCATCTTTGGGTTACAAAAAGATTTTAACAAATACAATCCAGGTAGAAGCTTAGTTGGGAGTTTTGATACTTCTTCAAGAGACATTTTTAAATTTTTTTTTTTTTTCAACGTTTATTCATTTTTTTGGGACAGAGAGAGACAGAGCATGAACGGGGGAGGGGCAGAGAGAGAGGGAAACACAGAATCGGAAACAGGCTCCAGGCTCTGAGCCATCAGCCCAGAGCCTGACGCAGGGCTCGAACTCACGGACCGCGAGATCGTGACCTGGCCGAAGTTGGACGCTTAACCGACTGCGCCACCCAGGCGCCCCAAGAGACATTTTTAAATATCAATGCCTGGTAATGTTAAAAAAGTAGAAAAGGGTATCTTAAAAGTAGAACAACTATTTTCAAAATAGGGACAAAATGTGATATTCACATATGACTAGTTGTTTGAGACTTACTTCCCGTTGGAGGATTTATGAGGATACCTTCTATAGTAAATCAGCCTTCTCTTGTGCCTACTTCCTCTGGCTCAGAAAGTAGAGTTAGACTAAGTTCTAGTTCATACACTAAGGTCAGCAAATTAGAATGTCCTCATGACTGAGATTCTTTCACACGTCACATTTGGGTCAGTAGAAGACAGCAAAATTAGAGATGCTTTTGCCTGAACTCACTCTTGTAAATTTGTTTTAAACTCGTAACAAGCATTTGAGGAAAAGAGTATCATTCCTTTCTTCTGTCTTTGCAAACTCCTTGCAACTGGTGGAAAATACAGGCAATTTAAAATAAAAGACGACAGGGGCACCTGGGTGGCTCAGTGAAGCATCCAGCTTTGGCTCAGGTCATGATCTCGTGGTCCGTGGGTTTGAGCCCCGCATCGGGCTCTGTGCTGACAGCTCAGAGCCTGGAGCCTGTTTCAGATTCTGTGTCTCCCTCTCTCTCTGCCCCTCCCCTGCTCACATTCTCTCTCTCAAAAATGAATAAACATTAAAAAAATTTTTTTTAAATAAAAGAGGACAGGGGTGCCCGGGTGGCTCAGTTGGTTAAGCGTCCAACTCTTGATCTCAGCTCAGGTCATGATCTCATGGTTTGTGAGACCGAGCCCCACACTGGGCTCTACGCTGACAGTGTAGAGTATGCTTGGGATTCTCTCTCCCTCTCCTCTGCCTCTCTCTCAAAATAAATAAATAAATAAAACATTTTATAAGCAAAGAAATTTCATTAATAAAATAAAGGACAGGCTATAGGGATGTGGAAAGCCAACCCGAGAGCTGGGGGCAGAAATCACAGGCAAGGGGAAGAAAAGAAACAAATGGGTGAAAGGCAGCATCGTTACAACTGTTACCATGGGGGGAAATGTGCCAACAAATCTCAAACATCTGGGAGGTATAAAGTAAGCTGTCTCCTTGGGAATACACGGTGCTATTCTAAAGATATAAAGGAGCTGGATCAACGTTGAGGTCTGATTACTCGAAGAACTGTTGTAGAATAAACCTTTTCCTAAGAGATTCCTTCTTGTGGTTTAAATAATATGAGAGAAGAAAATATGCCTTCACAATAAAACTTAAGCCAATACTTGGCATCTGGAAGATCTCTTGCAGTCATGGCTCTGGGTAGGAAAATACTCTCATTTGTTTTGTCTTTGTAAGCTAGCATGGAGACATCAGGCAACAAAATGGACAGGGCATTTGGCAACATGGCATGCTTGAACCAGAAGGAACTACGGACTCGTTTTCTAATGTTGTGCAACTAATTACCACAAACTTTGCAGCTTAAAATAAAACAAATTGATTATCTCATAGTTTTCATGGCTCCAGAGTACAGGCATAGCTTAGGAAGGTCCTTGGCTATTACAAGGCCATCACAAGCCTACTATTAAGGTGCCATCTGGAGCACAGTTTCTCTTCCAAGTTCATTTAGGTTGTTGGGAGAATTCAGCCAGTTTTCCTGCTGGCTGTTGGCTGGGGGGTCACGCTCTGCTTCTAAAGGCTGCCCAAGGGTCCTAGCCCCACGGGCCTCTCCTAATATCACAGCTCACTTCATGAAGCCAGCTGGAGAATCTCTCTAGTCTGCTATTAGGGAGTCTTATAATCTATAAACATGATTAATCATGTATTCATGGGATTGACTATCCCATTACCTTAGCCATATACTATAACCTAGTTAATAGAGTGGCTATCTCATCACACACTCTCATATTCCTGCCCACACTCAAGGAGAGGGGGTTATATAGGTTGTGTACACCAGGGGCAGGAATATTGGGAGCCTTCTTAGAATTCTATTGACCAAAACCATCCCTATTCACTGCAACACCCTCACTTCACAGATGGGGGGAAACCAAGGCCCATGGAGGAAAACGATAAATTATCCGAAAAGTCATATAGGAGTTATCAGGACAGAAAGAACTAGACCCTGGCCTCCAAAATCCCTGTCTAGAGCCTGCCACTGTCCCAACCTTCCTTCTGCCATTTGGCGTGACTGAAGATAAGGTTGTTCTTCAGGAGAACAGGGGGGCAGCACCACGAAGGGGAGCTATACCACTCATCATTGTGTAGCTTCCATACGTAGGAAGAAATGAAAGAACACTTACCTGAAGGGTGCTAGCGTGCTGACTCAGCATCTTTGAAGAGTCATAGTCAGCAGGATTAGCCAGCAAACGGCTGGTATTTTCTGTCCAAGCCTCAGTACTCTTCAAAAGGTCATGATATGCCTCCATCTTAAGTATGGCCTGTGAAAGAAAGGCACGAGCAAATAGTCTGACTCCTTCCACTTGACTCAAGTGATTCTTCAATGGAGAATTTGTTACCGTAAATCAGGCCCTGCAGGGTTCCACTCCCTGTGGCTGGGGCAACTCGCCCACCCCCTCCAGGTTTTTTCACATTTCTAACTTTTAAGACTAACCCCGACCATAGGTAGAAAGGATTTAAGAAGTTGTACCCTAATGCTATGGGTCTCAGGAACAGTTCCCAGTTAGCCTTGCAACTAGTCTGGTTCCCATTTTATGCTTCATTCTGAAAACTGGATTCGTATTTTGTCTTCCCATACAGGGCCTTGTCTTAGTATATCCCAGTTCCTCTGGGACTAGGCTCCTGCCTCGTTCTTGCTAGATTACATGTACAACTCACCCACCACGACCCCTATTTGGAAGGGAGGGAGAAAGTGTCTTGTTCCTGAATGACATTCTTTCTTGTTGCTGGCTCCCTGCAGGGACTCTTGAAATTGTTTGTTGGAAATGCCCATTGCCTATTGGGAAACCCAACGCTCTCCTGGACTCCTGCTGCGGTCCGACTTTGGGACACCTGCTTCTGCTTGCCCAGACTTCCTGCTGATGACAGCAGTTAAATCTGTCCTCCCGGCGCCCACCTGACCCTATCATCTGGCTCTAGCTTCAAAACCCGAAACTGGCAATTCAAAGGAAAATGGCTGCCTCAGAGTATATATTTTAGTTTTGTTTTAAAGCCCTTTCAATACAAGCTAAGCGTAGTTATCACGTGTTACTGTCATACCTTATTTAACTGTGAGGTTCTAGATTCTGCTCTCTGTGACACTTGCTGATACTGCTGGAAAGGAATCATCAAGTTATCCATCCATTCTTGAGCCTGTCCTGGATCCTGTTCAACAATGTCCTGCACTTCAGAATCCAGCTCATTTAGCTGGGAATGCCAGAGATCTAGCTCGTCCCACATTTTCTGGAGAAGGAAATCATGAGTCACTTTGAATGCAGAGGTCCTGGTTCATTGTGTTAATTCCTAGTCTTTGCACTGTATTTGCACCTGTAAGTGCTACCAAAACAACATCACAGGCACACTTATTCACTTATGCCCCCAAACCACTTGTGACCTAAATTGAAAAACACCATTTCTGAGGTCTCTTAGTCTACCTATATTTGTTTCACGAACAGAATTGGCTGTAAGGGAACAGAAAGACCTAGACATTTCCAGAGACAAATGACACCGAACAAGGTCAATATAACCTTAGTCTTTCAAGAGTGATGAGGTAACATTATGTTTAAAAGGGGCTTCAGTTAATCACACACACAGACACACACACACACACGCATCCTCATGCGCGCCTGTGTGTGTGTATTTAATCTAGAAGACAATTTTTTAAAATTTTATTTTAGAGAGAGTGAGTGTGTGCGATTGGGGGAGGGGAGCACAGGGAGAGAGAGATAATCTCAAGCAGGCTCCACACTCAGTGCGGAGCCCGACATGGGGCTCAATCCCACTTCCCTGGGATCATGACCTGAACGGAAATCAGAGTTGGACGCTCAACCGACTGAGTCATACAGGTACCCCAAGAAGACGATTTTTACTAAGTGTAAAAACAAAGCTAACAGAAAATATCTGTTTTGGTTTAGGATTAATGCAGTGGCAGAAAATTCTAGCAAATAGATTGGATTCAAGCCTGACCTTGTATTGTCAATGGAATTCTCAAAGGTAAAATATTTAATTTGTACTTAATATTTGCTTAAGAACCCAATTTTTAGAAATGGGAAAAGTAGACTGGTTAACTTAGCTTCCTCTACTTATTAAGGGTCAAGATTTTGTCCAAAGGTGAGCCATATTTTGACCTATTTTTAAAAGTCTCCATTCATATTAGAATAATTCCTTAAAACATAGATTAGAATAAGAATGCTTTTCCACATGCAGGAGTTTACTTGGGGAATTAAGTGGTAGAAAATCATGCTTATGTACAGTTTTACCTAAGACTTTATTTCTCAAGATATTTTACAAGGCAAATAAATTTGGGATTTCTATTTTCCTGCTTTGCCTTGTAGTCTAAAGAAAAGTTGTTAATTCCACTCAAATCCTATTGAAATATATTTTTTAATCAAATAAGTTTCAGAAATATTCCATATCATATTCCCCATGTTAATTCACGTTAGAAAACAAAAACTCCGAGAATTGCTCATAGAAACATGCTAGCTTTAAAAAAAAAAATTAATATTTATAATGCTTCTTATATCAGTCTTTCCAGGATAAGGTCCTTACTCTCCTTTACTTGTGAAAAGGCTAGTTCACAATCACAGGCTCTCAGGGGTTCAGGCATATTCCCACCATGGAAAAACTGAGAACGATTCTTAAATGCAATCTTCTCTACTAACCCTCTGCAGGTGACATGAAGTAAGGGGGCCCTATAGGCTCTGGGTGAGCATCTCTGTGCTTCAGATTCATCCAAAGAGCACACCCTGATGACTGAGGAACATGAGGAATGCTAAATGCTGAAGGAAATTAAAGGACGGATATTACCTTTTGAATCTCCTGAGCTTTCTCGATATTTTTGCTTTTCTGCTGCAACATCTTTTCCACATTGTGAAGCCCTTTGTTAATCTCGTCTATTTTTCTACTCATCGTATATGATGGTGAACTTTTCAAAACTTCACTGCTAATCTGTTATAACGAGAGAAAGATACGTTTGGCTTACAGATGTGCTCCATACTCTATTCACAGGTCCAGGTGATAGAAGAGATAGGTACACTGTTACGTGATTTTACTTACAAAAATCCTGTAAAGGCTAGGGGGGACATCCCAAACCATTATTAGCTAATATATTAATGAGAGGGTAGACTAGCAGACTAGGAAGTAGGAGCTGTGCTGACCTGACCTTTTAAGTCCAATCTAAAAAAAGGAGAAGAAAATCAATCAACAAGAATTTGTTGTAATCTACAGATTGTACTACAGGTCTGTGCTGAGTTGGGCAAAGCTACTGAGTGTACGATCTGAGACAGAGCCCAATGGAGCAAAGGATATGAAAAAATCCAAGGGAGGTAAATAATTTATTATACAGTCTCTCATTTTGTGACAAAGACCTCTGCATAGGACTGTTCTCAATAAAACCCAGCTTATTCTCAAGCTGACTTGAAACTAACGTAATTCTCACCATAATATTCATTTGGGTGAAATAACCCTCTAAAACTCACGATTTCTTGAGGAGGCACAAAGCTCAGTTTTTCTCTGCGTGAATGTTTATAGTGTATGTTTTCACAGCAATCTGAAATCTAGTAGCTGAACAGTGTAACTTTTTTATCTGAATGATTTTCTGAAGAAAATAACTTGGGCTAGGAAAGATAACAAATGAATGTGGAATGTGTCATTTTTCAAATACCTGATTAGTTCCTGTTCTTGGTTTTTTGGTTGGTTTTTTTGGTTTGTTTTAGGCCATGTTGTTGATAAGGCTTTCTCCCAGCAGCCACTAAATAACCAAATAATACTTTACGCTTCTGTATAATCCTTTAACCCTTTTAAAAACAACTATATCTGTATAACTATTACGACTAAAACCTTCCAATGCAGATGGTACACAGAGAGAAACTAAACACAGGTTAAATGACTTGCTTATGGTTACACATCAGGGGAGACCGTGAACTTGTCCTGAGAAGCCCCAAGTCACTCTGGAGTCCCAGGCTCTTTTTCACATTTCAGGATGTTGATACTCTTGTAAGATGTTTTTATTCCACAGACCATAATGCAGTTGAGATTTTTAGGGGAAAAATTTAACCCTATGTTAGCTTTTAAACTGCTGTAATAGCTATTTATTGCTATGTAACAATTTTTCTGATATTCGGGACAGTTATTCTCTTGACCAAAAGGCATATAACTTAGGTACGTTAGGAGAGACCAAGATTTAGGAAAAGTAAGCAGCCCTTCAAATTATACAGTATGGTTCTGAGTCTGCCTGGATCCTTCACACACCAAACAAGCAAAATCAGTTGCAATCTGTTACAAATATACAAGTTACAGCTGACACTCTCAACCCTAGATTTAAGAGTGATTCTGATTATTTATTTTGTTGGGGATTTTCACATGAAAAGAAGAAAAGATTTTCACATGAAGTATTCACAGAAACAAATTTAGTTGCTCTCAAAACACTATTTTCTTAAAATAAATCAATAGTGCTTGATTCTTGAGAAGGTATCTCATGGAAGTATCTTATTTTCTGCTGTGTTAAATCAACAACATTTGTCATAAATGTATATTAGGAGTATATATGTTTTTTCACGGGTCAGATTTTCCTAAGAAAACCACCAAAGAAGTTACCTGGTTTGAAATGTGATTTCCTGTGTATGTGCTTGATATCTATTTTATTAAGTTAGGGGTATTCCAGATTTCAAAAAAGAACACAAAAATCTTTCTGTGGATGCCGGACCAAACAGAATTTTGTTCTGCTGGATGGATGTAGGCTGCCTTTCTAGGATCTAATAAATCTGTCTTGCTAACGTCTTGGGTCTCCAGTACTAGGAAACATTTCCCACTTGTTCTTCTAACTTTCAGATTCATCCATTCGGGGATGAAGATTTGCTCAGATGTGTTTTGTGAGGACACCGTGTCTTAGATGCTATTCCTGGTGAGTTGTGAAATTCGTATTCTAATTGCCCTTAGTAGCAATTTTAAAACACTCACAGGGAGGGAATACATTTTACAGCAAAGTATTATTCATGTCCAAAATTTTAAAGTGATTCTCCGTTAAAAAAAAAAAAAAGCCAAGTAAAAGCTAACGGACAATTCTATTTTTAAATGCAAGAGAAGAAAAAAACTAAACATCCTGACAACTAAAAATAAACACATTGTCTAATTCTGTTATCTGTCACTTATTTAGAGCAATTTCACCTCAGTATTCAATACACAAAATTATCACTTATCTAAACCCTATAAAAACAGTCATAGTTGAAATCAGGGCAAATGAAAATGTGACATTACGTCGTCTTTTCTTTATATCTCTTCAACTCGTAAATAATAACACTAGTACAAACATTATTATTACCTTCTCGTCTATGTCTTCTAATGCTTTTCTGCATTCTTCCACCTGGGATTCAATCTCTGCAGGGACTAGGGTATACATTTCAGAATACTTGATTCGCAGTTTTTCCATAATATTCTCAAAAGTCAGCTTCCCTTTCTTAAAAATGCTTTGAAGCTCCTAAAAACATCAAGAGAGTTTCAAATACTCACAGGACAGGGAAAAAGTGTAACTCTCAAAGTAAAAGCAGCTTCCCAGCACATCCTTATGATTTAAATGAGCACACTTTGCATGACAAAGCCTCACTACTGATACAAGCCGATTAAGCCGGAGAGATACTCTGCTTGGTCAGATGATGCTTTCTAGTTTGTAAGAATTAAACTTGATATCTCTTCATGGTGTCAAACCATTGTCCTAACAAGACATTACAACATCTGCTTCTAAAATACCTCTAGGATCTGACTGTATCTCCCTTGCAGTCTTGATCTAGAAAGCCACAAGTAGCAAAAAAGTTTCAAAGAAGTTTTTTTTGTTGTTGTTGTTATTAACTTGTTGCCATTTCTGCTTCTTCCTACATTATCATCACAATGATTCAAGGCCACTAAAAGCCCTACGCTTGAAGCAAAAGTGTCTGCTTTCATGTAATTAGACAGCCCAGCAGAGCTCAACTTCTTTCAAAAGGGAGGGTTCCAGTTCCCTGCAAAGAATGTGGGCTTTAAAAGATAAAAGAAACCTGAACAAATAGTCTATTGGTGGTGGCCTAGAAACAAAATCTGATCTACGTTCTCCTGCACTAATTATAAAGGAGAAACTCATTTGTTTGGGAAAGTCTCCCAAAGATCCAGTGGAAAAATCCTTCTTGACTTTACTGTGGCTTTTGGGGGGTTTGTTTTGTTTTAACAGTAACTGTTCAGTAGCATTATTTGTGTTAATAGGCTGAGTCACCGCACTGAAGAATGATTAGTTTTGAATGACTCCGTGATGTGTCACTGTTTTCCTTTTCTTTACCCTCAGCAGAGAACAAATCCAGAGGCAGAAAGTTAGAGAACAACGCCATTCAGACAAAGGTGGGGTTTGAAGTACAGTGCCGTCCGGTTTTATCTAGACCTAGTCAGAGAATATAGAGCTACACTTGGATGGGTTCTCCATGAAGACTGAGGGAGAGTAAATTCCCTCTATCAACACTGAGCAATGGTTAACAACCACACGTGATTTTTGAGTAAACTTCCAAATGTCTGTTTCGCTTGTTACCATTGGACTGGAGTCATTCTAAAAGACATGAGGTCCCAAATGACACGGGGGCGTGTGCACAGCCCTTAGGATACTGTGATTTAAGAGAGACAGTTCGTCTTCAGCCCTGGTTCCTGAGCAGTTTCTAAGGCCCTTGGGATTTCTGGGATAGGAGTAAAGGAGTGCGTTTTGTTATTCTTAACAAGCCCTTTTCAACTATACCTGGGTTTATGCTAATAAGTGACTTCTGGGTGCTCCCCCAGATAGATTCTCGATGGGGGGCGGGGCTGGTTGCCCGAGGAACCAATCAAGTGAACTTCCAGCCCCATTTCCCAACCCCCTAGGGTGGGGCCAGGTGCTAGAGATTGAGTTAATCATCAATGGCCAGCGATTTAACCAATCGTGCCTGCATAATGGGACCACCATAAAAAACCCTAATCGATGAGGTCTGGAGAGTCTGGAGTTGGTGCTGGGAGAGCGGCACACTCAGAGAGGGCTTGGAGGCTCTTCGCCCTTACCTCGGTCTATGCATCTCTTATCGACGGATCCTGAGTTGCATCCTTTATAACAAACCAGTAATAGTAAAGTGCTTTCCTGACTTCTGCAAGCCATTCTAGTAAATCATTAACCCCGAGGAAGCGGTCCTGGGAACCCCTGATTGATAGCCAGTCTGTCAGAAGTACAGGAGGGCCAGAACTTGTGATTAGCATCTGAAGTGGGGGGCGGTCTTGTGGGAGTGAGCCTTTAATCTGCGTGGTCTGTGCTAACTCCTGCTAGTTAATGTTAGAATTGAATTGAATTGAATTGAATTGAATTGAATTGAATCATTGCTTTCCAGAGACTTGGGGAAGAAACTCCACACACTTGGTATCAAAAGTGTTGTGAGTAAATACAGTGGCACCTATATCAGAGGTAAGTAGTACATCCTACTAAAGGCAGTAGTCTAACACCCTACTCAATAAATGCTCTGAGACCCCTGTTCACCAAACACGCCTGAAAAGGGGTTGAAGCAGGGCTGCTTGGTCCAGACCGGCCTACCTCCCTGCTCTCTACTGTGATAGGAAAAGACAAGATTCAGTAGGCCGAGAGGGAAAGGTTAGGACCCGAGGTCCCAGGGTGGGGGAAAATGCACATTTTGGAACAATGCTGGGAGTGTCTGACCACAGCAAACCCCCTGGGGCACAAGGTTCCTCTTGAGAATGTAACAGGTACCACCTATTCCCCTCCCCCTCGGGTTTCCCTCAGGAATTTGACAAAAGACCTAACTGAAAGTAAGTAGTAGACCTATAAACCATTTGACCCACAAGAAATGATATGGCCAGAGATCTCCCCTCATACAATGGAATTGGGCCAATCAGGAATGGACAACCCAAGCACCTAGAGCATCAAGCCAATAAGGACAGACACTGAGAAGGAACAAGGGGAAGAAAAGAGGGGAGAGTCCAGAACGTTATAAAACAAAGGCCCTCGCCTACAGTCGGGAGCATTCACCTTCAAATGCCCCTTCCCTGTAAAGAGAGCTTTTATACTATTCTTACTTTCTAATCTTATACCCTAATAAACTTTTGCCTGCTGTTCATTCTGTGTCCACCTCTTCGTTCTTCAAAGCGGCGAGACGATGAATCCCAGGTATTGAGGTGAAAAATCCTGCAACGCTTCTCTGCACTCCAACCACACTGATCTTCCCCTGGGGCTTGGCCCCACCATGCCACGGGGCCTTTGCTGGTGCTTTCCTCTCTCCTGGGCCACTCCCTCCACTCCAGTCACAGAGTTACCCCTGCCCCAAGGAATTTGCATTCGAGACTGCAGACCTGTATCAGCCACATTCACTGGTTCCTCACTTCATTCCTCACTCACCTCGAACTGTTCTGCCTTTTCTGGGTGGTCGTGTAATTCCATATTTTGGAAAGAAGTTGCGGTCTGCTGAAAGAAATTCTTCAAAGTACTTATTTCTTTTGTGAAGGAATGTCTTTCTTGGGTTTCATTCTCCACCAATTCCTTATTTTCTTGAGCTTTCTGAAAAAGCCTAACATAACATCAAAATAAAATTGTTCTTATCCTGCTGTCTTGTGAAATAATTTTTATTTCAACAATTAACACAATGTCAGCATAGTTCGCAAAAGAAGATTATTTTTCCTGAGAGAAAAGTACCAATTTTCAGTGGTTTATGTACTACATATACAAACATATACCAAATTCCATCACTCAGTCAAAAGCCTCTCCTAACTTTCATCTCAAAATATCCTCTTTTTGGGGTTCCTGGGTGGTTCAGTTGGTTAAGCATCTGATTCTGGATTTAGGCTCAGGTCGTGGTCTCACAGTTTGTGAGTTTGAGCCCCGCATCAGGCTCTGCGCTGACAGTGCAGAACCTGTTTGGGATTCTCTCTCTCTGTCTCTCTCTGCCCCTCCCCCGCTCCTGCTCTTATTTCTCTCTCTCTCTCTAAGTCAATAAACTTTAAAAAAAATCCTCTTTTCACACTTTACATTCCAACTGCTGTCTCCATCTGACTTTTTTCCACATGATCTGTCAGTTCAACTGAATATGACTTAAGAGGTGAGAATGGAGTCATGCATGGGTGGGCTCTTGGGGACAGATGACCCCATTTGCTGTGGATGTAACTACCATATTACTAGAGGAATTTAAGAGGGTACAGTCTTTCCTGAGAGCTATTTGGTAAGTACTTCTAGCCATAAACATATTATATCCTCTGACCCACTGATTCTGCTTCTTGGTGTCTTTCTCAAAGAATTAATCACAGATGCAGAGACTCTGGCATAAGAATATTCACTACAGTGGTTTCTTTTTAATGTTTACTTATTTTTCAGAGAGAGAGAGAGAGAGAGACAGAGACAGAGACAGAGCACAAGCAAGGGAGGGGCAGAGAGAGAGGGAGACACAGAATTTGAACCAGGCTCCAGGCTCTGAGTTGTCAGCATAGAGCCCGACGCGGGGCTCGAGCTCGGAATGGCAAGATCATGACCTGAGCCGAAGTCGGATGCTTAACCGACTGAGCCACCCAGGAGCCCCCTCACGACCATGTTTTTATAAAAGTGAAAACCATGTATAACTTAAAGATTCTATAATAGGAGTTTGGTTAAATAAAATATGGTATATTCACATGGTGAAATATTACATAATTATGTTTTAAGGAACATTTAATGGCATAGGAAAACTAACATGATATGCCGATAAATGATTTAGCACACAACGAAACAATATAGTACTATCATAATTTGTTTAAAAATAGAATTATAACAAAAAAAGGTAAGTGATTGGCAGTGATTGTTGTTGAATGATAAAATTAAAGAGGGAGGTTATATTAACCTTTATAATTTTCCACATTCCCCGAACCGCCTATAATGAATATGTGTTACAAAAATAGAAAAAAAAAAAAACAAAAAAACAAAAAACCAATCATGAGTAAAAAAATTCAACGGCTATTCATCCTCAATAATACTGGGATACAGAATATGGACTGGTTTTCATCATTGTTACTGATCTTTTCCATCCGCACCCCCCCTTCTTTGAGTATAGTTGACACGCAATGTTACATTAGTTTCAGGTGTACAACTTAGTGATTTGACAGGTTTATACATTATTCTACACTCATCCCAACTATCCTGTTACATCACTGTTACAATATTGACTACATTCCTTATGCTCTGCTTTTTATTCCCAGACTTACCGATTCCATAACTAAAGGCCTGTACCTCCCACTCCCCTTCACTCATTTTGCCCACCCCCCACCCACCTCCCCTCTGGTTCTGCTTTGTGTTCATTTGTACTTTTTTTTTTTTTAAGATTCCATTTATGAGTGGAATCACATTTGTCTTTCTCAGTATTTGTCTTTCTCAGGCTGACTTATTTCACTTAGCCTAATACCCTCTAGGTCCATCCATGTTGTCTCAAATGGCCCAATCTCATCCTTCTTTAAGGCTGTGTAATATTCTCTTGCACACATATACCACATTTTCCTTATCTATTCGTCTACTGACGGACACTTAGGTTGCTTCCACGTCTTGGCTACTGTAAATAATGCTGCAATAAACATAGAGGTGCATGTATCTTTTAGAGATAGTGTTTTCATTTTCCCTGGGTAGATACTTAATAGTGGAGTTACTGGATCCTGGGGTAATTCTATTTTGAATCTTCTGAAGAACCGTCGTAATAGTTTCCACAGTGGATATACATTGCCAACACTGTATACTTTTCTGTGTTAACGCAATTCCATCATACCATTTGTCATTATTCTATATTTTTATATTTTCAATAGCCAACATTCTCTAAATTTTAAGCCTGAGTCAGCAAGCACGTTGTCTTAATAGTTTTTCATAAGACTTACTTGTTGCATCGTTCTTGCATCGATGTAATCTCTTGAAATGCTGGACCAGTTTCTACAGCCTGTAAGCTTTGGGGAGCATTCTGGATACTTCTTAGGCGCTGAAGAAGTAAGGTCAGTAATAGCTGCTGCTTCTCCACATTTTCTTGGTAACGGCATAAACAGTCTAGCAGCTCACAGAGCTCCTCTGTGGTGGCCGCCTCTTTTGTTTTAGAAATTTCAGGGAGGTCTTCTTGAAGGTTATCTAAAATAATTGCTTCTCGTTCAATCTAATTCAATAAACAAAAAAAAAAAAAAAAAAAGAGAGAGAGAGAGAGAACTAAAATAACTAAACTGTACTTGGATCACCTCAGGAGCTGAAGCATACCTTGGGAACCATAATTTTTGTGCACTGGCCCTTCAAAGGGTTCCTGATGCCATATCCTCACTCGAAGTAGCATCCATCTTCCTATAGCTGGGAATATTATTCCTCTGCTTTTGGAATCCCATAGCTCCCAGCGATCGATCATGTAGATATGTGATTACTATGAAATACTGCTATTGTGAGCTGAAGGAAACACTGTTGAGTATTTTCATAAATAATTTTTCTCTGTTTCAGATTTCCATTGCACAAAGCAGTTATCTCTTCTGAAACACCTATAAGGCAGTTCGAATGAGCTTCACCAAATTGCAACTACTAAGAGGTTGGGTGACTGCTGGATAATTTTTCTACAGGTGACTTTTCTTTCACATCCCATTCCTACATGCCCAAAAAAGTAAGTCTGGTACTTCCTCATGCCCCTAACACCCATGCCAAAGGGAAAGCAGCCCTGACTAATCATGTATTTATCAACATGGCTATGTGCAGAACCCAGAACTACATAACCTAATACATCACATGTCTGCAAAATGGAGTCCCGTCATCCTTGAACTCAGAATGAAGACACAGAAAATCAGATCCCTCCACGCACCTCTTCAGACCCTGTGGTCCTCGCCTCAGCTGTACCCCACAGTCACCACATTCTGCCCCAGCAGTATTGTTAACTCTCCCGCCCTGACATTCAAACTCAAGTCAGGCACCTTGCAATCTGGACAGTACAGAGTAGCACTCTGGTCAACTACCTTTCCGATATCACGCTCCCTGAAATGATAAACGAAAACCTGCCAAAGGGGTCGAACGTAAAGCCTGTGAGAATTTAGCAATTCCAGCATAAATTAAGTTTCCAGGAGCTCAGTGGTTGAGCGCCTGCCAGAATTCCATGGCATAAAGCTCAAGCTGTTCCGTCTTATGTCTCTACCACTAAGAAAGCACTGGATTTGCCCACTGAGATTTTGGAGGCAGCATATGCTATACTTGAGAATATTGCTCAGCTCCATTTATCAGAATGCTGCCAAGCTTGAGGGGGGTCTGGGCAAAAAGAGGCACTGCTCTAGGGTCAGACTATGGGATAAACTGCCCTGCCACTTGGGTCATATGACCCAGTTGAGTCCCCGGGTCACTGCAGGGTGTAGGTATAGGCTGGCCTCTCAAAAGACCCAGTTATGGAATGTATGCTTTCCATCACCTCCAACCTGAATTCAGTTGCATCAGAAGTGCTGGTTCTCAGGCAGGCAGCCACACTTCCACCAGGGAATGAGAGAGAAGGATTCCACTGGGATGTCTGGCAACCTCCCTGCCAGGGAACCAGCAGGCAAAGAAAGGACGTGCTGTAGTGTCAGAGATAATGGTTATCTAGGGTCTCGAATACACATCAGGGTGGAAAGAAGTAGGTCTGTAATCTAGAACTTAATGGAGCATCTCTTGGTGCTTCCATGAAGAGCAACAACAGCAACCATGACCTAATAAGAGTAAAGCAACTGAAGGCCTGACCTTCCCAGTTCCAGTTCCCCTCGTCCCCCACACCTGTTCCTGGAGATCACTTTCCAAAATAAACCACCTGCCTGCAAGCCCCATCTCAGGCTCTGCCGTCCACTGTAAGTTGGTAAGTGATTAAGGAGGGAAATCATTTTTATTGGGGCAATAATTGTACTCAAAAGCCAGGCCATTCTTCAACTTGTGATGGATAATCAAACTGTCATACATGCACCCAACCCAGTATTACTCAGGAAGAAAAAGAAATGAACTATTGATACAAGCAGCAATATGAATGCATCTCCCATGCATTATGCTCAGCGAAAAAATGCCACACTCAAAAGGCACAAACTATCCCAGTCCATTTATATGACATTCTGGAAATGGCAAGACAGATTAATGGTTGCCAGGGGCTGAAGGTGACAGAAGGGACTGATTACAGAGGTGCACAAGGGAACTATCTGGAGTGATGAGAATGTTCTATATCTTCATTTTGTTGGTGATCATGTGCCTGTGTGCATCAAAATTCAACAGACTTTATGCGAAAAAGGATAAAGACAGCTCCCAAATCAGTAAAATAGTTGTCACAAAAATTATGTATTCATTCTTCCACCTGAATGATTTCCCTTGGACACAGAATTCTAATAATATCGGTTATAAAACTTTTAGATTCACAGTCAATTATAGAGTCCAGAAAGGGAGAAGGAGCCGTAGTTGCACCATAAGTAAACAGAGTGAAAGAGACTGAAATACTCATAACCAGGAGATGTAGGAACCAGTAACAGTCTTTTGGACTTTGGGTTCATGGGGAAGAAGCCAGCCTTCTACCTTCAATTATCTTTCGAGACAGGACTTTAGCACATTACGATCACCAAAGCAAAAATGATGACTGAATAACCAGAAACGAATAATTAAATCAAGCAGATTCTGTTTAAGAGAACAGGAAGGTAAAGTTTTAGGGGGAAAAAAGGTAAATCAAAATTTAAATTTATTTTTCAAAATATACAATTAAACAGAGTTTTAAGTTTTTGAAAATCTGCTTATACAAAACCTTTATGCCATACAGATACGGGATTACCGTAATGTCTTAAAAAAAGAAATTCATTCTGTCACACACAAAAGCACCAACCATGCCAATAGAACCTTGCGTGTACAAGTGTTTAGATGATACAATTTTTATTGAATGGATACAAGCTATTTTAGGTTTTCATTTTTATTTTGAGAAAGAGAGTGAACACAGTGGGGGAGGGGCAGGGAGGGAGGGAGAGAGAGAATCCCAAGCAGGCTCTGTACTGTCAGCGGACAGCCCAGTTAGGGGCTTGATCCCACAAACCGTGAGATCATGACCTGAGCCAAAAATCAAGAGTCAGACACTTAACCGACTGAGCCACCCCGGTGCCCCTGGATACAAGCAATTTTAAAATCCTACATCAATTTGGTGTGCGTAAATATCATTTAAGCTGATGGTTTTGTGGTTAAATACCAGAGTGTAAGTTTGAAACATTTTTTTAACGTTTACTTATTTATTTTGAGAGAGTGAGGGCACGAGCAGAGGAGAGGCAGAGAGACAGGGGGAAAGAGAGAGAATCCCAAACAGGCTCAGCATGGAGCCCAAGGTAGGGCTTGATCTCATGAAGCATGAGATCACAGCCTGGGCCAAAATCCAGAGTCGGACACTTGACCAATTGAGCCACCCAGGTGCCCCTAACCAGAGCGTAAGTTTGAATCCTCTTCTACCATTCACTCGTGAATTTGGGCAAGTTACTCCATCTGACTGTGTCTCACTTTCCTCGTCTACAAAATGAGGATAAAATAAAAGTAATTACCTCATAGGATTCTTGTGAGGGTAAATGATAATACATATAACGTGCTTAGAACTGTGCCCAACACACGCTCCGTACCAGCCCATCATGTGTTGGAGTGGTTGTTCCTATTACTACATGAGGGCATATTTTGTTGGTGATGCTCTGAAAAACACATTCTGCCAGCAAATATTGTCAAATGCTTCGATGAATAATTACAAAGCTCTAAGTGAATGGGGTCTGAATTAATACAATATAATTGCAAATGGGCGCACAGCGATAGAAAGACAATGTAGTAAAATAGAAAGAGTAAAAGCTCAGGATTACCCTAGACCTGGGTTTGAATAAGAGCTGTCGCTCAAGAAATGTTTACTAACTGCCCACTAAGTGCAAGGCCCCGGTCAGATTCTAAAGTGACAGCAGTGAGCGCAACAGCTGTGGCCCCAGTCCCGCAGCCCCAGCTCCATCGCCACCTGGGAGGTCTCATGTCATCAGAAATCTCTAGGCGCCTCCGTAACCCCATCAACGACATCGCAATAATATTTAACTCTGGAGAGCAATGCAAGGATTTGGTGGCACACAGCCTCCTGTAGGAACCCAAGAAACAGTGCCAGTACGGACGGGAAAGATGGGGGCTAGCAGCTCGGCTAAAAAGTGAAATTTACAAAGTTTCTTAGAGTTGTAACATTCAAGAGTCTATGTACTAACCACACCCTACCAGCACTACCAAAGTATTATTCATTTCCAGAATATCAAGTATTTAGGGGCGGCTGGGTGGCTCAGTCGGTTAAGGGTCCGACTTCAGCTCAGGTCATGATCTGGAGGTCTGTGAGTTCAGGCCCTGTGTCCGACTCTGGGCTGACAGCTCAGAGCCTGGAGCCTGCTTCGGATTCTGTGTGTCCCTCTCTCTCTCTCTGCCCCTCCCCGACTTGTCCTCTCTCTCTCTCAAAAAATAAACATTGAAAAAATTAAAAAAAGAAAAAAGAATATCAAGTTTTTTTCTTTTTTCTTTTCTTTATATTATTTTATTATTCTGCAGTAAGGTAGGTATCTTGGATGACTCATTTAAGGAAGTTCACTTAATCCACCTTGACGAAGCCTATATCCTCTCCACACAGACGGAAACACTGGTGGCAATTATTTACTAGGCAATTATTACTGAGGCCATTATTTCTGGATCAGACTGTGCCAATTTGAGCAGACAGGGCAAGAATGAAGACCCTGGCCGAATTTTCTCCCACGGCTTCAGAAGAGCTGCTGGTGACCTATAGTGCTCTCTCGGATACAATGAGGCAAAAGGCAGGAAGATCAAGTTTTAAGCAGGAAAATATGCCAGTGCTAAACATTTCTATCCCAAATCAAGTACTGATTCATTATATTTCTCTCTTAAGTAAAGTTAGCAGGAATTTTGACATGAATAAGAGAGAAAGGTTTTCATTTAATGTTCTGATTTGTACTTCATTTATACCTGATAGATTAAGGAACACCCGAAGATAATTTTATACTATTTTTAAATTTCCTTTCTAAATATATGTGATGGCCTAAATCCTGAATCATGCTTAAATTAACATCTGTGATTGATATATATTATGGAGGGCTTTTTTTTTTTTTTTTTTTAGTTTATTTATTTATTTTGAGAGAGAAAGAGAGAGAAGGCAAGCAGGGAAGGGGCAGAGAGAGAGAGGGAAAGAGAGAGACTCCCAAGCAAGCTCTGTGCTGTCATCGTGGAGCCGTACATGAGGCTCAATTCCGTGACCCCAAGATCATGACCTGAGCCAAAATCAAGAGTCAGACGTTTAACTGAGCCATCCTGGCACCCCTATTATGGAGATTTTCTTTAAGGGCATTTTCAGAAAGAGTGTCATACATATTTTTAAGTCCATACTTTAACCATTAGAATTAATTTCCATAGCTAATAAACAGTTAAATTCAAAATTAGTTGGTTATTGTGAATATCACCTAATTCTAACCTTTGGTGTTGTGTAGAGGCAATTTTTTTTTTTTTTTTTTGAGAGAGAGAGACTGTGAGAGAGCAAGCATGAGCAGGGGAGGGACAGAGAGAGAGAGAAAGGAAAAAGAGCGAGAGATAGAGAGAGAATCTCAAGTGGTCTCCATGTCCAGCAGTGAGCTGAAGCAGGATTCGATCTCACAACCCTAAGATCATCATCTGAGCCAAAAACAAGCATCAGATGCTTAACCGACTCAGCCACCCAGGCACGCCAAGACAGTTATCTTTAAGAGGGGTTAACTTATAGGTACAATAAAGATTTTAAAGCTCAAACGAGCAAATACTTATTTATAAGTATTACCTGATGCCAAAAACATTGGTACTTCTAAGAAGGAATTTGAACCATTTCTTGGAGATGATTTTACTAGGACCTGACCTCTATGAACATTTATGTGCTACGTGCCTGTGGTATGAACAAAGGGTACCGGTTGAGGACTTGTTTTATATAAAAACAAACTGCCAAGTAGCACAACAATGTAGATGACAATTGTTAGGAAACTGGTTATAATGTTGAAAATGAAGCACTTACTTCTTCACTGACAAATTTCCACTCCCGCTTTAGTTCTTCACACCAAATCTCCCACTCTTTGGCAGCCTCTAGCAAACTCAACCATTTGTCCCACAGAGCTGACGTGGTTCTGAGCAGACACATGTCGTCGCTGTCTGTGCACATGGGTCTTATGTGTCTGTGGACCCGGCGTAGTTTCATTAACTCTTCTTTGGTTGATGTAAGATTTGACCCCAAGGCCTTAGGAAAGAAAAGGAAGAGGGGGAATATAATGTCTATTGATCTTTCTGAAACTTATGAACTTCTTACAATCTTGAGGAATTGATTCTCAATCATCCCCAAGTGTTATCTGATCTATTTGTTGGTCCTTTTGGAAGCCAATTTAAGACAGATTAGAACTGCCTTAAGTATTACTGGGTTGCACACGAATTTGGAACTATGGTGACAAAAAGAAAGTGTTTTGAAAGGTAGATTTCTTAAAAGATCATTGTTATTTTAACGTTAGTCTCATATTTTACTAGGTAGTTAATCTGAACAATACTTATCAACCACCAATGTATTATTTCGGGTTTTTGTATATGTATTTGTTTGTTTGTTGATATGTGGTAGGTATTAAGCACAGATGACTCAGAATGCTTTCATGCAAAACCTAATAACGTAATACCATAGCTTTTAACAGATGAAAAGAAACAAAAACAAAAATTGCACAGTAATAATAAGAAGTAGCCAGAGTTTAGACTTAACGATAGTTGCATTAAATTCTCTGTCACTGATCCAGCAACATCCAACAAAATAACAAGAAAGGTAAAGCTTCAGAAAGAATGATCACTAAGAACAATCTGCTACGAGTTTGCTACAGTCCTGTGAATCCAACCCATGAAATCTCTCAGAACCACTGTTTCATGGTTCCCCGCGGCTTTTGGTTTGGGGTGTTTTGAGTGTCCAATTCAGGTGGGAGATTTCTGTGGGTCATAACAGAGCCACATTCCCTGCTGCCGCCACCTGTTCTTCCTGCCAATTTTCTGCATCAAATCTTACTGGAGATTTGCAAATACTATTACCTTGCTCTGTTCCAAGCGCTCTAAAGCTTCCTTGTAAGACACCGGCAACGGGAACACGGACTGCCCAAGAACTGTCTCCATTTGACTGAGGTGAGTGCAAATTTTCTCTTTAATTTTCCTGTAGCATTTGTAATTCTCAAGACACCTATAAAGCACCGTTAGGAAAAAAGAAAGGATATTAAATTTTATTTAGTATAATCTGGATTACCCACAATGAATTCTGAACACTTAATAAAAAACAGAATGTAATTCTCTTTTTCTTATTCAGCGTATTACACCGAATTTTTATTGATTACCTCTTCTTCACAGGGACCTGCATAAGACTTTTAATGCAAACTTGAACGGGCAGATAAGACTTTCCTCAAAACACGCAAATTGTTGGGGCGCCTGGGTGGCGCAGTCGGTTAAGCGTCCGACTTCAGCCAGGTCACGATCTCGCGGCGGTCCGGGAGTTCGAGCCCCGCGTCAGGCTCTGGGCTGATGGCTCAGAGCCTGGAGCCTGTTTCCGATTCTGTGTCTCCCTCTCTCTCTGCCCCTCCCCCGTTCATGCTCTGTGTCTCTCTGCCCCAAAAATAAATAAACGTTGAAAAAAAAAATTTAAAAAAAAAACACGTAAATTGTAAAACCGCACTCTCAAACACTGCAAATGAGATATAAATTGGTACAATTCTTATAAAAACCACTTCGTCTTAAAAACGCTCATATCTTTTGAGCCATTAATCCAACTTCTGCAATTTATCTTAAGGAACTAATCCTCACAGTAGGAATTTATTCTAAACCTGAAAAAACCTTTTACATAGTAAAATCTTTTTTTTTTTTTTTTTTTTTTTTTTTTTTTTTTAATTTTTTTTTTTCAACGTTTTATTCATTTTTGGGACAGAGAGAGACAGAGCATGAACGGGCGAGGGGTAGAGAGAGAGGGAGACACAGAATCGGAAACAGGCTCCAGGCTCCGAGCCATCAGCCCAGAGCCCGACGCGGGGCTCGAACTCACGGACCGTGAGATCATGACCTGGTTGAAGTCGGACGCTTAACCGACTGCGCCACCCAGGCGCCCCCATAGTAAAATCTTTTTACTTATTAAACTGTTAATTAAAACAGCAGGGGTGCCTGGGTGGCTCAGTCAGTTAAGCGCACAACTCTTGATTTCTACTCAGGTCATGATCTCAGGGTTGTAAGACTGAGCCCCACATCGGGCTCCGTGCTGAGTGGGGAGCCTGCTTAAGATTCTCTC